GTTTTTATGTAAATCACTGTTTTTATTTTACTGTGAACACAGTAATATAATTGTGGATTTTTCTTGAGAAAAATTTTCATTTATCTGGACTAACAAAAGGTTCAAAACTGATTACTTAAACAGAAATGTTAATTAATCATCATAAATGTTTTGCAGTGATTTCTCTTAGAATCTATCAGAAGAAAAGCTAAAGAAAGCTTATCATATTCTGTTGTGACACCACAGAATTTTAGCCTTGAGCTGGCGCCCTGGCAAATCTTTATCTTTCTTTCTTTCTCTGACTCATCTTACGCCTGAGGGCGGAACCAAAGATCATCCATTTCTATTACTAACACGGACGTCTTTGAGTGAGACACTCTTCCTGATGCTAACCTAGGAAGAAAGCTGAGTTTCTCTCTTGGGAGAGACTTAGCTGGCTTTTAGGTCTTAGCCCGTGAGCTAGCTAGGGAAGACCTAAATGCCGGGACAGCGGCACGCCAGCCGGCTGTCCCACCCCGAGGCTTCAAGCCTCCCAAGTGTGTTTTAACTCCCGAGGGGAGATTTTATTTTGAAAGAAGGATTTGGATGACCAGCTTGGATCTTTCTGGCTTGGACTGAAACAGACAAAAAGTTACCTGGGAAACACCTTTTCGCCAAGGAACAGTAAGCGAGCCGATAAAGTTCCCTGACTGATCGGAGGTGAGACAGTTCCTACCCAGGGGGTGATTTAAGAAGTCATCACCAGGTAAAACTGAGCGTGTTCAGGCTGACGTGTCATGTGGAAATCTAAGTGACCAGAAGGGACATACTGATCCGGTTGACCACACTTGTTAAAGTAAAACCAGTAGAAATACTAACCTAACTTTCATCCTTTACTTTGTTCTTTATTTGCCAAAACTTAAGCTGAATGTGCCAGTAAAATTGTTTGGTTGTTAACATCAGAGCTGATTGTTTTACTGTTCTATATAAGTAATCTGAGTTGATGTGAATTTAAATTCGGACGCGGATTTTCATCTCATTTAACTTGACACCTTTTAGGAATACCCGCAATTAAGTGTACTTATGATATGTTCAATTTGTGTAAATAAATGATTGCATAGTCTTTTATGAATCAACTTGAACTCGTCTGAACGTTCACTTATTGTGTCACTTTTCACTTCGCACAGTCAAGATATTAAAAGTAACGAGAAAATACCTTGGTAAAACTTTGCTCATAACCTTGTGTATGAGAGATGTGGGAGAAGCTTAATTCACCTCTCCTACACTAACAATTACTGGTCTATAGCTAACCCAAAACTTAATTCACACCAAACCACTAAACCTAACTAGTAAAG